GGAGAAAAGCGCCTACAGGTCCAAGGGTTCCCCGACGGGCAGGCAAAACACGGTCTGGGAAACCAGAGGGGAAAGGAAAAATATTTCTTAGCGACAATGCAAGAACCTAAAACGGCCCGGCACCTAGTTATGCGAAAGCCCCTCTCCCAGCGTCGACCCTGTCACCGTGGCTAACGTCAGCGGGGAGACTTCTGCTGACAGAGGCTGTTTGGCCATCAGGATCACAGCAGGGTTTTTCGGCAGAAGAACTCGCGTCGCCCCGAGCCTGACAGCCTTCAGGCCACATGCGTTTCTGCTGCTTCTGGTGCCTTTTAATACTTTATTCATATGTCCTACGTTGGCAAAAGGCATCGCGAAGGTTTTCCTTTCTGTCGCTACCCTGACTTCAGATGCTCAATTAAAAAAATAATAATAATAATAATAACCCCCCCCCCCCACCCTGCAAAAGCAGCTGCAAGCATCAGTGCTTTGCAAGTGCTCTTGTCTTGTCCAGTGGGTGTTACTGCAGCAAATAGAAATTGCAAGCTGAGGCCGAATGGCAATGAGTCAGGGAGGCAGAAAGGCGTGAAAACAAAATGAATGGAAAGGCAATAAACCCGCAATATTTCACATCGGTACTGAGTTCCTGGATAACCTCCATCTATCAGCGTTATCAGAGTCCGGTATCTCACCGGAGCTGTAGCTACTACAGTACATTAGTGACACCGGCAAAGAGGTGGCAAGGGCCACGTGGCTGGGCGGCCATGCGGACGGGCATCCAAGCGGAGGGGCGGCCACGCCACGGTGGTGAAACCCGCCTCGGGCGCAGGCAGGGGAGCAGACCTCCAAGCTGCTCGCGATTTCTCCAGCACCCCAGGGTTCAGATCTTCCTGGAGAGCAAAGCGGTAAAACGCTCAGGCTTTTATGGGCTTCTCGCAAGAAGCAGAGGAGAAAATTGATGGGGCAATCCCAGGCAGCAAGAAGTACAGGAAAGCGTCTCGATTTAGGAAGGGCACTTGTGCACGTGCTAAAACGCTGCCCTGACTGGGGACCCTGTTTGCGAAGCACGTGGCAGCGGGGAAAAAGAGGCACGCAGAGATCTCGGGTCTGACGTCGGAAATAAATAAAATGTAATACGTAAGTTCAAGGCATAGAAACCTGAGAAACACATTTAAAAGGGAACGTAGTTCCCTGTAAAAAGCTGGAGCACAAATCAAAGGACTGAATTAGAAGAGGCAGAGGCTTTTCCAGTCATCCCCCAACAAATATTAGTGCCCCTTCATTCACCATTTCTTTCTCTCTCTTTCACACACACACACACACACACATACACACACACACACACACACACACAAAGTGCTACAGCTCTTCTTCAGGGTAATGGCAGGCAAACCTGTATCTACAAAGAGATTATAAAAAAAAATCTACCAGGAAACAGAGGATGGGGAATACCTCAGTCCTTTCACTTTCTGAAGCACTAAGCACAAAATGGGCTAACAGCCCACTTTTTTTAAACACCTACTTATTTTTCACTCCCGCCCAAAATGATTTAGACATCTATTCAATAGCTACTCGCACGAGTCACCCTTCGCCAGTCCCTTGTCCCATCAGTACCTCTGCAGCACATCCAAACGTACCTCACAACGCAACTACTTACTGGCCTTGTCTGGAAGTCAGTCCCACAGTGCTGTGCAGACAGCTGTCAATCACATCCCCAAAGGGGGCTCTACCGTCTCCCAAACTACCTACGGCTCTGACACATGTCGCTGCGGCGCTTGCTTGCCCAGTGTACAAATAAAAATGATCGCTCTCTCCCCGGGCCCACTCTGCTCCCAAAAAAGAAGCTAATTCCCTGTTAGCATTATAGAAGACTCAGGCAGCCAGCGAGAAGAAAGCTTTTTAAAAAGATATAAAAACAGGATTCTTGTATTGAAACACACGCCACAGATGGTGTAGCAGACGAGGATTAATTCATGAATCATATTTCTTAAATGATACGATCTCTCTTTTCACTTCCATACTTTCCCTTTTTGACTCAGAAGCAGGGATTTAAGATGCCCTTCCCAGATATGAATTTTGCATGAACAAACACTGCAGGAAAAAAAGTAGCAATAAAACAGAACACCCAGATGTTTAAAGCTAAGTTTTCAAATGTAAGCAAATGCATATCCTGTCCATCGATGAAAGAACATGTGCGGAAATACAATATATGCAGGCAGAGATACGGTTCCAGGGTGAGAAACTGCCTTCCCTAACATTTGAGATTATTAATGCTTCCCAACAACTGCAGTTCAGTCAGGGCTCCGAATTCAACAGCTGCTGGTTTCATATCTTAGTCTATCTTATTCACCACTCTCATAGCAAAAAAAAACAAAAACAAAAACAAAAAAAAACTTAAGTCATTTAAGAGAAACACTTCCATTGAGAGGCCCTCCTCACGCTGCTCTACAGGTTTGTTGCTCCTCCATCCCCCAGCCAGGCTTGCCCACTGAAAATCTTGGCACAGACACCTTCAGGTTGCACTCTAGGAAAATTTAGCAAAACCTATGAAACCAAGAGGATTTCAGGATGCAACAGCAAGCCAAAACGTTCTGCACAACGCAAACAGATCAACCGTAACAAGCAGTTATGCCCCCACTACCATATCTAACTAACATCTTAAGTGGAAAAAAGACAAGGAAACGACAGAGCAGAGCTTCAGCAACAGGAGATCCCAAACTCCAAGCTCACTCTTAACCAGCAAGCTCCTTCACATCAGCCAAAGGAACCTCAAGCCCATGGCCATGCTTCTGGGCAGAGCAATTGCTGTCACTCAGCTGTGAGCACCGGCTGAGGCAGGACCAGAAGGAACAGTGCAAGCATCCACAAGTCCCAGGCTGCTGCTGCTGCTATCGGGGCCGCTTTCTCACCTGCAGAAGATGCTCGTACACCTTTCTTTCAGTACCACTTTAGCACATCAGTCAATTTATTCCCTTCTCATATACAGCAGCTGCGTATAGGCTAAACAGCTTCTTCTTTACGTGGCCTTGCACTGACTGCTGTAGCTTTAGCCTGCACACAAAGCTTCAGGTTAGAATAAGGAGGAAAAATTACTTACCCTGAAATTCTTTCAACCTTTCTCTGCTTTGTGTACGACGTGGGCTTCTCTTTTGGTTACTATTTCCAGATTTGGTCTTTGGGTAGGTGAATGGAAGAGGAGAATGAAAGGAGTTGTATTTGATGACGATGGAGACTGTAAAATAAAGAGAAGCACTTTAGCGCAGAATAGTCCTCTATATACATACATATCAGATTAAATTAAATTAGTGACACCTACATAAACGCTTCCTACTGTTTTTATGCACACATACAAATATCACAACTGTCAAGGAGGATGCAGCTGTCAGTGATGTGGGGGGGGGAGGGAGTGAAGAGCAATTTCTAAAAAGGAGGAAAAAAAAAAAAACCCAAGCAAAAGCAGCAGCACTGGAGCTGCTAGCAGCAATAGCAGCAAAGAGGCTTCCACCACGTATCTGCAGAGCGCCAACCAGCCCAGAAAGCAGGGAAGGAGCCAAGAGCTTCAGGAAGCGCGCGCACACACACACGCACGCTCTACCGGACCTTCAGCTTGGGGCAAGATCCAAACCCGTCACCCCCAAACGCAAACTCTCTGTAGGCTTTTCCTTCATTTACACGCGTACACACTGTTCTTGCCAAACAGAAGAGACCCAGACACAGCTCACTCCGAGATCCGCAAATCTCATGCAAAAATTCACCCATCTCCTGCAACAGTGAAAGGATTCGTCTCATTAAGGAGGAATTAACAATTACCACAATTTGGTCATTGCACCAGCAAGCACCTCCCCAAAAACCAGACTCATCTCCTACCGTCTGCTTTACTTGCAGAATTGCTGTTGGGAGGTTTCCCCCCCGACAGGCACAGACAGACCCACACATCCGGGCAAACGCACAAACCAGCCGCTCGGCGTCGCGCAGGCACGGGGCACGCAGCTGCTCGGGAAAGGGCCTGCTGCCCTCGGCACCATCCCAAGGTTTCGTTTCTGCCATCCCGCTTCCTTTCACGCCTCCTCTCCCACCAACGCCCTGCGTGGCTCCCGCGTACGCTCCTCAAGGCTCTCCACTGATCAGGTGAAGCGCCTTGGGCTACTTCCTTTGCACTCGCCTCCAAAAATCATTGTCCGTTTAACAGCACAGATTGAGATCCTTAACATATGATTTCATTTTAGGTAACTGAAAAAAGAACGCAGATAAAAGGAGCTGACTTTCACGTTACTGGTTTTTTCAAGATCGCTCTCCAACCTCCTGCATACAAAAGCATCGCGCCAGCACAATTAGCCCCAGCCTTACTACTGAAAGAACCCCAACAAGAGTATTTACAAAATCGCCTAGAAGATGCTATGCCTGCTAGTAAAGAGCCTGAGTCAGGGACTGTCAGTATTTGCCTTGAAAAGGTCACTGCGAGTAGTCTATAAAAATACATGCAAACACCAAGGAAGCATAAACATAATATAAGCAACACTTTCTGCAAGCAGTCCAGCATTGAACGCTTCCAGGGGGGCCTACGGGAAGTCTTAAGCGTCCCAGGAAAGGGAGGAAGATTTCCATTTCTGTTTAGCAGGATGGGGAAAGTAAAGCACAGGTGAGCAACGCTGCTCATGACGGCAAGGACCAAGTCTGAAATAAAAACCCGGGGCCCTAACACAGCTCCCGCACAGCTGAGCACACTGCTATACTGCTGCGTTGGAACAGGAAGAGAAATACTGTTGTCAGCGGTAAGCAGTGTAGACTCATTAATATTTATTTTTATTTAAAAATATATATTTTTAAAGTACTTGAAGAAATAATCTGGAGGAGGTGCTAAAGCTCTGAGCGTGTTTTCAATATGTTCCAGCTTTTCCAGTGAGATTTTGGATCTCCTGGAAGGAGGCAAAAGGTCTTAGTGGCAGCAATGAGGGTGAGGGTGTACAAATACCCCCAAACAACCTAGAAAAGCAGCATATTCACATTGCCTGCCCTTGCTCCTCCTTCCAAATTGCTCAGAAAGAGGGAAATCTAAAAATGCAGTCAACTTGAATTACTCATGGACAGCAGAAACCCAAAACTATCATTTCCCACAGGTTTTTAATGCGTGTGGGTGTTTATATGTGAATAACACTTGGAAACAGTCGAACCCGATGCCTGAAGAGATATCTCCTCCAAAACTGTTCCAACAAAAAACCGCACACGCTACTCCGGCTCAGACCAGGTCCACGGAGCCCGAGGTCGGCGCGCAGCTCCTGGCCAGGCTGCATCTCGGCCCAACAGCTACCTGCGACGAGCCAGGTTTGTGCCTTTAAATTAACCCAACGGGGCAACAGGACAAATGCATCAGCTGGATTGATTAGGAAGGTTTTGCACAAAGACTAAATGTATATTTAAATACAGATATGTCTATTTTTTAATATCTGCTGTTTCGATACGATAGGTCAAAACCTGGAGTCCCACAGGATGATCAGTTTGTAGGAGAGAAGCCTCAGCTGATTGAAATTCATGGCAAAAAAAGGAGAAAGCGGACCCCAAGCAGAAGTGGCACTGATAGAAAGAACCTTAGAAGCCAAAAGACAAGAACTTGAACCCAAACACTCAGCTATAACGTTCCCAGGGCCTTCTCCTCCTCAGCAGCCCATCCTCAAGGTGCTGCTGATCCCCAGCTCCCGCTTCCTGGACATCCTGGGCAGCACTAGGAAGACACACACTCATTCCTTAGTCTGTGAGCTGGTGACTGTCCATTACTGTACATAAAAAGAGGCGGTGGTCTCTGTCCCACTCCAAACAACAAACATCTGAAGATTAAAGCCCCTTGCAGGAGGTCCTGAGCGGGCCAGTGGAACAGCGCTGCTCCTCCTGCTTACAAAGGCAAGATGCGCCAGGCTCTGCTTGCAGCGGAGTAAGGCACTCGGTCTGACAAATCAGTGCCTCTCAGCAGCAAAAATTAGTTTTCAAATTGTTTAGGCCAACATTTTTCAGAGGAGCTTGTGGTGTTAAGTGGTCTCATTCTCCACCAAGTTGCAGAAGGTTTTTGCAGCTCCTTCCTAGATGGCTCAGACTGCAAAGTCACAACCTGCAGGACTCAAATTTATAATTTTAACCATGCAGCAAAACAGGACTTCAAAGAGAACCCCACTTACTTTTGTGCCTCAGCTATGAGCAGGAAAACATCTGTCACAAATCGGTATTTTAGACAATCCTTCTACAGCATTAGCTGCAACCCAACATCTAGGGCCCATATAGTAGCACAGTGCCACTGCCAAGAGCAAACACAACCCTTGCAAGTCCTGTAGGGTAAACTGGGAGAGTGTTTGGCAGCTGTTGGCACGGAGCAGCCAACGTCATCGGTCTTTTCAGAGGTTAAGATGCCTGAAGGCAGAGACAGCTGCTCAGGTTTGGCCAAACCTAACTCCAGCTCCCTCAAAAAGGAGCCAGCTAAAACAAGCCTGCCTGGCTTTGACGTCTGCTCCTGGGACTCTGCTATCACCCTGCACAAGCCCGCCAGTCTGGCAGCGTTTCCCTGGGGTCAGATCCACATCTCATCTTCAGCTCTCTGCAGCATTTTTGGAAGGTCAGGGCTAAGAGAGGGTCTCAGGAGTTGTAAGCCAGCAACCCCCATGTTAGGTACCAGCAATGAATTAAAAAGCAGGATGATTTTATTTTATTTTATTTTATTTTATTTTTAAGTCCTGTAACCGTGTATCTGTAAGTATATCCGAAGAGAAAGACAGCAGGAAGAAGGAAGCTAAGCCACAGACACAGACAACAGATTCAATACAGAGAAGAGAATCAACGGTAGACCCTGCCATAGAGAGAATGCACTTCTCCATGCAGTACCATATTTTTACCAAACCCATGTATACCAAGAATATGGAAAATGCATTTTATCTTATATATACACCACTTCTTTGCAAGACAACTACAGCTTTCAGTATGATCTCAGGATGCCTTGGGCTTCCTCAGACAAAACTGTACAGCAGGAAGCATGGAGGAACAAGCTTTTTTTTTTTTTTTTGGATTATATAGAAGGTTTGCTTACAGCTAGCATGTTGTGGGCTCCCCATTAAATCTTTCAGCTTGGTCTTTCATCAGCGGTTTTGGTGGGGGAAAGGAAGAACAAGATAAATCTCTGCAGTTTCAGAGAAGGTCCAAAGAGAGTCAGGCGGAGTGTGCCACCTACGAACGCAGAGACTGCGCCTTCGCCAGGCCCGACCTGCTACCCCGGCGCTTGGCCCCACGTGACAGGGTAACGGGCTACAGCCCATCACGGATGGAGCAGGAGGAGCTGACGCCGGTTTCTCGGCCAAAATTTCCAGTCACACGTCTTTCCCCCACCTTGGAGACGGAGGGGCTTGCTCTGGAGCTCAGCCACGGTGGTCTCTGGCACCGGGCAGATGGCAGCGATTTGGTTACCCAGTGCTAAACGCAGTCTGCACAAGTAAGCGCACACCAAGTTCAAAGTCAAAATGAACATTTGTTCTACAACAAAACACACTGCAAATGATCCTTAACAAATTTTAACTGTCGGTGCAGTCAGATAAGAGCGCGGTAGCATATATCATACCCTGTTGTTACTGCAAGCTCTGTGCTGCTAAACATATGAGTGGCAATGCAGAGATCTCTATATTTTGTGTTTCCGTATAAATTACAGAGCAGCATAATAGAACTGAAGAGGCAGCTCTGCTCTTCCCTGCATCAGTTCTCTCACATTTTTTAAGCCCATTAAATTTCTTGCCATTTAGTTGCTTTATTTTGGTTCCTTGCTGCATAAAATTGTTCCCCGTTCACAAAGCAACGAAGCTGACTAAATAATCACAAACTTCCATGCAAGAACTCTGAGAGCTGCCATGGGAAGAAGAGAGGGCATCAGCAGATAGAGACAACTCGGAGGCAACCTGAGGTTTAGTATTCTATGTCAGCCTGACACACAGGGGAAATAACCCTTTAATCCAGTGCAGTGTATTTCATTTACTGTAGTGTTATCCAGTTCGAAGATGTTATGAAAGGAATCCCCAGAGAGACTTAAGACTTCAAAACCAGCCCGAGTTTGAACTTAATTCCACCATTGCAAAGGGCTGTAGCAATGGAAGATGACCTTTTATGTACCTTGCATGCCAGAAGCCATTCTGCTTCATAATGTCATGCCAAATTAGAATATTCTCCTTTTGTTTTAGGCTGGATTTTGTTTTGCTGGGTTTTTTTTTCTTTTAATTAAAAGCAGCTGTCACTATTAATGAAATACACAAAAATTAAAAAAAAAGAAAGAAATCAATAACACAAACAGATTAAAAACGGTGACGTCAACAGAGACCAAAGAGAGAGCCAAAGAGCTGGGTAACCAGACACGGGGACTTTCACCTCTGTGTTAGCTCATCAACCACCTACCCAGAGCCCAGGTCAGGTACGAATGAGCCTTGTTGCCACCTAACGAACGTTCATTGCCTACCCGGACCGAACAGATGGTCTCGGACCTGCCGATAGCGAGAAGAAGCTGAAGTTGTTCTTCAACGTCACACGTGCCCCTGGCGTGCCTTCCGACGTTGAGATCAACTGTAACAGGCTAGGTTTCATTCACTGGATCACAGAATTCAGATTTTGCATGTAATTGAATGTAAAGTTGTATTTCTCAAAAATGCTGTTCCCACACAAAATGCTAGGCTAATTACAAAAATTCTGCATAACGTGAAATTATGTAGCCTGTTAAACACAGTACAAATAGCCTTACTGTATCATTAATAGTTAGAAACGTTCAGTCAGCACAGCTGAAAAAAATATACACTAAATATGT